ACAGATTTCTGAGAATCCTTTTATTTACCCTGTAAATCCTTGTTTCAAGGTTACTGACATCATAAAGAAGAAGCGTTACCGGCATTCAGCACTGAATAAAAAGCTTCCTGCAAATGCAATGGCATGGTGTGGTCTATTCTGTTCAGTGTTTTTGTCTTTTATAGCTGTGAGTGATGCTTGGAGTGGCATTCAGAGTGTGGTGTGCAGTCCTGTAATATACCAGATGCTGCACCATGACAAAGAGATTCACAAGTACATATCCAAGCAAACATGAAATAAAGACGAACTGTATGTGTTGCGTTTTGTTTTGAAAAACCCTGTAGCCCATTGAACAAAACTCCACACTATTCCCACCATCTGGATGAAAGAATTCTCTGTTTGCTGCATGATAAAACAGATGGTATTTCTTAATCCAGGTAGATGGAAATGATCCATGCTCTTGTTGTAAAACACAAGCACAATATTAATTTGTACAATAAATATTAGAGGGAATCATTAATATGTGCAAATATTACTGATAGCATTGTACAATTTGAGCAAGCAGATATGTCAGTTAGCCGCCAGCTTTGTTTGGAAATAAAGATACAAGTGAGAAACTAGTTAAAAATCTTCTTCATTAAATATTTTTTCAACCTAAAGGTCAGAAAAGTCCTTGAGGATTTTTTCGAAATACCTTCAGAACAGCAGTAACTTGGCTTAAAAAAAAGACTGTATATAGCTAAAGGAAATTTAGATGCTCAGCTCTGTGACTCAAATGTAAAGGCTAGGCTAACAAATAAACACTGTGTGTGTGTGTGCGTGTATGCAATCCTATGCAAAAGAAAGAAAGACAGAGTGGGTGCATGTGTTATTTCTGCCGGGCTTCACACATTGAGTGGACAAACAATCTATTCCAATTAAAGCGAGCTGCAGCCCTGGCGACTGCAGAAGGGGCTGTACTCCATCGGATCACATCATCCTTTGAAAAAAAAAAAAACAGATTGGCTGATTGTGATTTGAAGGGAAACAGGGCCCTTCAGGAACGACTAGTGTGGGCTGGCAGCAGGGATGGAGGTGGGGGTGGTGGCAGACTGGCTCCAAGTTAGTCCAGAAAGTTCCACGGCAAATAGTGTTACAGCCGAAGTGGAGGAAAGGGAGGAGGAGGGGGAGGCGCCCAGGAGGAGGGCAAGGCCATTAATCCTGGTTGTAGCCCTGGTTTACCGCTCTTACTGCATGTGGGGCGAGGAGGCAAATTAATTATGTGGCTGAGATTAATTAGGTGATGTTAAGGGAAATGTGTGACTGTAAAACTTTAGAGGGCTGCACAGCTGACTAGACTAATGGGGCGTTCATGAACTCTTAATAGATGCTACTCTGATGTTGAGAAGTGTGTAAGTGGAGCAGAGAGAGACAGCCAGGAAACTAAAGACAGACACAGTGAGAGCAGAGAGAGGATGTGTCCTTGCTTCATCTATAGAAGCACCTGCACAAGCTTGAGCTAAAGCCTTATATTATCTCCAAGTACATTTTTATCTCCCCTGTGTTCTTCAAGCTCCTATAATCAATATCTTTATATTAACAGTGCTTCAAATGACTAATGTGAAAGAGGTCGTAGAGATGAACCCACAGAGAATTATCCCCCACTCTGCAGCTCTTCCCAGAGCTTTTTAGCATCTTTAAGCTGTCAGCTTGTTTTGTTTATTGCCTGAATCTTTTCTGTTTGGTTTACCTTCATCAGTGTTACCTGTTACTAACCTGCGCTACCTGTCTGGCACCACACTGTAGACAGACAAAGTTAGAATAGTTTGCAGCAGTGGAGGAAGTATTCAGATACTTTACGATCTCCGAAGTTGTCGAAATCCAACCATGGGCATTGACATGTGGCGTCAGAAACCAGTGAAAAAAGGTGTCCTTTAACGTCAGCATGATATGTGGCCGGTTGCTGTTATAGTTTCACTGCATGTGGCGGCATCAGGGAAACGCGGCAGGACAAGGACAAAACTTAAAGGCGGTAAAAGTCCAAGTGGGGTGGGTGGGAGTGTCGACTTTCACCTGAGAGAGTGGTGTTCACATTACGTAAGATTCTAAAGCCAAACCCTGTTCTTTTTCTTAAACCCAACCATGGACGTTTGTTGTTAAAGGAAAAAACGTCAATTTGTGGTGTTGTACTGACGTAGTGCGTCTGTTTTGACAGAGACTGTATGCAAACCTTAAATTTCCTGTGAAAACGGAAGTGTATCTTGAAAGAAGACAATGCATGTAACAGGCAGAACTTGACACGCCGTCCCGGAACGTCAACAGCCAACACACCCAGGGTACCTTGCACGTCGTATGTGGACGTGGAAAGTTCATGACCAAATGTCAATATGTGATGAGGTCACAGTGAGAATGTGTTTATTTTACTTATGAAAAAAATACTTCACCTGCAATATGACCGTTTGTATATCAATTACTCACCCGGTGTTACATTGACTTGGTGAAATTATCTTGCCCCGCATGCCTCCACGATGAATGGAGAATCCAAAAAAGGCAAACATTCCTCATGAATTGGAACAACAGCAAAACTATATGAAAACATCCTTTTACAATCTCTCAGCTCGTGCCATGCCATCATTTATCCAGTCATATGCTCAGTACTTCCCAAACACATGCATTTTCACTTAAAAGTTACAATACAAAGCATATATGCCTACCAGAAGCATGCCTAAACATGCTTGTGCACATGAGCTCTGCCTGAGCAGAGTTCAGAGGTTAGGCACACAGTTCAGCCGTGAATGAGACTGTTTGTACTGACATGCTTTGAATCGTAATGTTTTAAGGAAAATGCATGTGTTTGGGAAGTACTGAGCATACGACTGGATAAATGAGACTTGACTTATACTCCACGTTATTAAACAGACATTTTGTTACAGTTTTGCTGTTATTAAGGCTGGCCCCTTTTTAGTTAAACTTATGAAGAATGTTCACCATTCTTGAATTGCTCATTCACCGTGGAGGCATGTGAGCAAAACAAAGTTATCTTCACAAATTAAATGTAACACAGGGTGAGTAATTGATATACAAATGGCCATTTTGTGAGTGACTTATTCTTTTAAGTAAAAGTGCCAATACATTCATGTAGAAATACTTATAAATAAAAACCCTGCATTTAAAATGCCACACAAGTAAAAATGAATAACTATTATCAGCAAAATGTACTTGGTATCAAAAGTGAAAGTAGTCATGACAAAGAGGAATGTCCCCTGTGACATTTGGATGGAGCCAGTCTGTCAGTGCATTGAAAGTGTACGCCTTATTTCTACTGGTTACCTTGAGATCGCTGTGACAGAAAATTAAATAGCTGCTGCAGTGGTAACTTTCCAGATGTGAAATTTTAAACCCTTATGCAGCGTTTTGGTGTCAGATAAACCTTTAAGACATTAATCTGTTGTTCAAGCTGGACTTTAGAACATTCTGCTACACTAAGTGTATTAAAATGTTTTACCTTTATTTAATCTTTGCTCTTTTTTGTGACAGTTTAACCTTTTTGGACATCTAACAGTTATTCACACTAAACTATCTGAGTTGATAAGAGGAGAATGGCCTCTTTTTTTAGATGTGTTAACTCATACACTACATAGGTGTGACAAGGGGCCCTGGCTATGCACTGATTTTTGGTAGTAATGTCATATAGAAGCAGAAAATGGAATACTCAAGTACAAAATTGTGCTTGAGAAAATGTACTCTGTGACTTTCCAGCACTTGTGCTAATGCTCCACATTATTTCCAAGCAGGTTGTTTTCCCCTCTTGTTCTTAAATAAGTGATTCTGCAGTCTGTGGTGTCGAGGTGAAAACAGATTTATCTGGAGATTGCATCAGTTCTTGTCCGACCCTGAGAAACATCAACACCGCCTGCTGTATTTTTGATTTTAAAGAAAGAGACCTGCATTCCTGCCAGTTCCTCCAGATGTGACTGCTCTTAAAGGACCATCTGGAGACCTGACACCTTCAAAGCAACACTAAAGCAGAACATGCCAGTTGTGTGTTAGTGCTGCACATGCCAAATGATGTAAGCAGCTGTCTGATAATCTCACAGAAGCCACCACACGCGCTCTCCCTTTACACTGTCTCCTCCTTCACCCCCTACGCCTGCAGCCAAACCTGTTCTGCTGACGGCCGTTGATAGTCTTACTCAACACTATCACTATAAAAAACACATGTTAACTGCAGGCAGATCAGGGAGTAGCATCACAGCTCTCTGAGGGCACAAAGAAAAAGAGAGATAGGAAGAAAGAAATAGTGCTTTGGTCTGCATTTAAGGGGCAATGAGGTTAACATCCTGTCTGCAGAGTCCCAGTAAGCCCCTGAGTAAATCTAGGCCACATTCAAATATGAAACAGCTATTGTAGGTTTTTTGGAGCTTAATGTCTTTGAGACGGTGCTGCTGATGTTTTCAAAGTAGCAATAAGATTTGAATAAATAATCCCTTGCCTCTGAAAAAACAGAGTAAGAAGATCACACCCTTGGGCATAAACAACTTCATCTTTTGATTTCACATGGTTGGGATTGTGCTCGATTCTGAGTTTACCTATCTGCCTGCTCTCAATTATACTAAAAGTTACTCTAAATATGTGTGAAACACCCTGACAATTAAAGCACGTATTCAACCGGCATCACAACTATTTGTTTCATAGAAGTCACTCGAACATTGTGGTGTTCACAAGCTCACAGAGGGCAACCAAACAGGAAGTTCAAGACAGCTGCACCATTGCATGTTGTGCATGTTGACAGACACGTTCAGAACATCCTGTCAATAAATGTAAATCAGAAAAAAAACAGTGCGATCCAGTAATCCACAGAGGTGGGTGCGACCGATACACAGACACATGCTCGTGCCTGTTAACTAAGTGGAAATCATGACTTTGAGTCGTGCTCTTTTGCTTGTTGAGATCTGAAGAAAAACTACAACAGCAGACGGATACATAATGGACGAATAAAAATAGATAAGTCGAGAAGAAGAAGAAGAAAACATCAGACATGCTAAAAATAAAATACATTTTTTATTATGGTATTAATTCTTCACTTCTTGAAAAAGTCTGTTTACAGTACACCTTAATGATCGGCAAATATTTTATGCGCGCAGAGCATTTATATATCTGACTCTTACATAGAGAAACATTTTGAGTAACAAACAAAAAAAAATGGCTCGTGCCTTAAAGTGACTGAGGAAATCATAGCAGCAGGTAAAGGTCCTTCAGAGCTCTAAATGCAGTTAGACGTTAATAATGTCATATTATATGAGGCGAAACATAAAGGTATGACAATACTAAACTGCTTGGTACTTATCTTTATGTAACACATTAACTGCCACAGTCTAAAGTCTGGATGTCATTATTAGTCTTTGATTGGACGAGTTGAACAGTAGTGAGCAGTACAGAAAGACAGTAAAATGCATAAGTTGGACAATGGAAAGAAATAAGACGTGCACTAACAGAGCATGTCATGGACTGCAGCCTGCCCTGATATTTGGCTCGATCATACTCCTGTAACAAAACTTACTAGTACAAAAATAGATTTAGTTTAATTTTACATTAGCTTTGCCTCTTTATCTACATTGTTAGTGAGGGAAACAGGACAGCTCATCCCCGAGCAGCTCTACTCCAAACTACTGAGACCCACACGTTCATTTCCAGTTGAACGTTCGGCCCACCAGCTCAAAGAACTTCTTGTTGGGTTCGTGAAAGAACTGGTAGAGTTTCTGCAGGATGGCGGGCGCCACGTGAGGGTGAGCCCTGCCTTTTGAATCATGTAAACAGCGTTCTCGCCCATGGTCTCTCAAACAGTAGAATCCTTTCGTTTTATTGAAGTAAAAATTTGAAGCGTTTATCTGAGGTTCCAGCTTTAGGAATCTCTCCACCTTTTTCATCTCGGGGAACGGGTCCCTGATCAACTCGTCCCCGTCCACCACGTGAATGCTCTCCAGTGGAAAGTACTGCAGCCAGTTCTGCATGTGAACATAGTACAGGCTGCGATTGAGAGCCTTGTATCCCAGGTTGATCTCGCCGTCCTTCACCAGAACGGACTCGATGGGCTGGTAGCGCTTGTGCTTCTGGAGGCGGTTGTAAAAGACCTGGGTGTAGTCTGACAGCACCCGCTCCGTGGGGTCTCTGAGGATGAGCAGCAGCTTGATGTGAGGGTTCATCTGATGGATGCGTTTGGGGACTTTGCTGGAGGTGAAGTAGGCTGGCGTCTTCTCCACTGTCAGCTGATCGGGGAAGGCGTAGGGCATCTGGCTGAGATACCAAGGCAAGCCCTTCTGAAAGTGACTCTCCCAGTCGAAGAAGTGCACCTCGTTCTGCGCCGCCGCCACCGCACTGTGCAAGCTGAGCATCTCTATCAGCGCCCGCGTCCCCCCCTTCCTCACGCCAATGATTAGAATCTGAGGAAGCTGTTGGAGGGTCCCGTTTGGGTGGCTGGTGGTCCCGTTGTCAGTGGGCGACCAGGTGGGAGGTGAAGGTGGCCCCTCGTCAGCCACGGGCCTGGAGGGGATGGGGGGAGACTGCATTGCAAAAAGCAGCAGCCCGAGGAGCACGGCTGCCATGAGGGAGGTCCTGACCTTGGAGGATTTCAGCCTGGCAAAAGCACCAAAACTGTATCCCACATTGAAAGAGCAGCTACCTGAGCACAATGGTCCAGTTGAAAAGACAAAAAAACTGCCTCTTCTCTGCCAGCAGCGGAAACTGCAAGTGGAGGGAAAAAAACAGCTGTGATTAGAAGACACCTAGTGAACATCTGGCAGAGACACAAAACACCTCTGGAAAATACCTGCGAGAAGATGATCCATCCAGCATCCAAACAACATGTCTGATCACCACAGAGTTATGACTCAGTCGACAAGGAAGAACATTTAAATGGTATCATTTATGACTATTGAGGTGATTAAACTTTAAACTCCACCCAGTGATATCTGTAAGCCAACAAACCATTGATAATCTACATTTTGAACAGGAAACAGGAGTTATGAGTACATGAATAATCTTTATTTCACAGCCTTTTTATTTCACAATAACCCAACAATATTTATGGCATAAAAACACACATTACTTTGAAAAGGGGTGCGTTTTGTGTAAAATAAAATGTACATACACTGAGCAATTAAAAATTTAAAACTGTGAGGCAACACTGTACAACATTAACCCTAATAAATATATGTTGAAAACTCAATGTGAGCTCGGAAATATTTACTAGCTGCTGGTAAAAAAGCAGGTATGGTAAATGTTGGAAATTTAAGGACACACGGGGAGAAACTAGAAATCTGTGCGCACACGAACCGCATGTTTTGCATCCTTTCTTTTCTTATGGTATATTCAAAATTGCCAGCCTCAGTTTGTCTACTTGGCTGCGTTGCTCTGGCACTGACAAAGAAACCCACGAAGTCCCTCCCGATCTCTTACCTTTTTAACTCTAATCGTCTCGACTCGACAGAGATTTCATGTCGTGCAGCTCTGAGCTCTCCGTTCACAGCACCGATACTTCCACACAACCAGCGGGTGTACGATCCAGCTCTGCGCCGTGTTTGCGGTCTCCTCCGTGCGCACGAAACTCGCCTCCGACGCGGGGACACAACTTCACCGGAGCGCCTCCTCTGTGTTGTGTTTCCTCGCCACACGGTTCTCTCGGTTTTTGAGTGTCAGCTGTTGAAGCCTACGCCTACATTACGCCTGCAGGACCACTCCCCCCCTTACCGTGACTCACGTGGTTGTAATGGCACGGTATTTGACGGAGATAAAGCTGCTGGTATGAGAGATATGAGGGGAGGAAGTGAAGCAGGTGCGCCAGGTGTGACACGTGCAAAAAAAAAAATTGGGCAACACAGACAGAAAGTGGGGAATAAAATACCATTGTGATTATGTGTTATAGTGGAGAAAATTGCTCCAGTCTTGCAGAGAGTTCTGTTTGTGGCAATAGCTCAGATTATTTACCAAGAAGCCCCAAATATTCAAATCAAGCAGTCTGACTTGCTCTATACAGAAATTTGTAGCCCATAGAGAGTCTGCGCCTTCCCAGGATTTGGATTTGAAAAAGGCTTTTCAGTGGAGCCTCCAGGAGTCCTCCCTTCACTCGTTGCTTTCAGGGGAAATCAATGAAAGAGACAGGCCAGTTATTCATCCCTGGCATTCTTCTCCTCCTTTGTCCACAGTGCAAGTGCATCTGTGGGTAGTCGCCCAGTCCAAGTTGCACAATCTCACCACCTGTTGAGCTGCATTTTTTACATTTTTTTTTTTGTTATTGGAGATGTTTCGAATCTGTCCAGCAACAGCGGGTCCCAAATATCGCTCCAATCCAAGCTGTAGATTTAACTGATGTTGAATACAAAGCATTGTAGTGTTTCAACATTTCCTCTGAGTCACATTTTGATCGTACAGTCGGCGTGAGAAAGTTTGACTTCACAGGGTCAATGAGTAAGTGGCATGTCACTGGGATGAGACAGCAGGGAGAGATCTACTTGTGATGCCCAACATAGGGTCATTGTCATGGTGTGATAAAGCCCACGTGATATATGTTCAAGTGAAGACATTTTTGTTGGCTGTAACTGGGTGCAGAGTAAAGTATAGGCTGCTTCCCTTGCTGATATTAAGCTGAAGTATGGGAGGCTTAAGGGCTTCGCAACTGAATATGGATGTATCTGATTTTACTCATGTTTGCGAAAAATATTCTGCTGTGTGGGTCATTTAGGCGAAGGCCACTACACATTAAAGCAACGCTCTACATGTATAAGAAGAAGGTGTGGTGCCACAGCAAAAGGTCAACCCCGCTTCTTAAACCCATCCCTTCCTGTAGAGAGAATGCAAACGCATGTGCTTTACTTATTCAGTGCACAAGTATAAATGCTGATACGGCCGAGAGTTTCCCCAACATTGATTTTTAGATGCAGTTTAGTAATCCTCACATTCTGCCCCTCGTGTCTCCTGGAGAAATGTGAATTCAGCGGAGTCGTGGCGCTGGCTCTTACAATAACCCCGCTTTGAGGATCATCAGAAGCGTCCAACCACATTAACATGACAATGGTACAACAGTCACAGACCGTAAATACCCTCAGCGCCACCTCAGCGACTTCCCTCGCCCTCAGCTCTAAACAGGATGAAATAACAACAATAACTTCTCTGTGCTTTAATGGGTGTCACATCTCCCGCATATTTTAACTTTTAAGTGCTAAAAAAATGTTCTTATCAGACACTTTAATGAGACAAATTAAGTGTTTCACCCAAACAAGTCACTCTCACTTCTGATGTAAGTCGGACAAATCTTGCAGTGTTGCTACATGATCAGCATGCTTGAAAACATTTTCTTTAGTACTGGTGCCAAACTGTGTATGGCATTAAAAACAGGTTTTATCTGGCTCTGGCAGGCTTAACAGATTCCAAATGGGTACACAGATTGTTATGGGTAAATAAATGACATGACTGCTCCGTGTGTGTCATGGCTCTGATACCAATCTGCCTTGTGAAAATGCTGTTAAACCTGAAAATGTGTGTTTTATGAACACTTTACCGACTCACAAAATAAGATGTTTAATGCCACCACTCATATGTTCTGCAGAGGATATTATAAACACCTGTTAAAGGGATATTTCGGATCTTTTGAAGTGGAGATGTACAGTATGAGGCACTAATCCAAAGTCAGTGTATTACTTACATCAGTGGTTCCCAACTGGTGGGTCACAGTCTAAAAGCGGGTCCATTCTAAATGGATATGTGACTCAGGGACGTGTCAAGTTTGTGAAAAAACACACTTTATTTTGAAGTACAGTGAATTTCCAGCACAGAGCTTTTATTTTGAAGTACCAACAGAGACAGCAGTCCAGCTCAACAACATGGCCAAAAGCAAGTATGAAGCTGAATATATTAAACTCTGTGGACCTTGATCGAATGACTGAGGAGAAATCAGCACCCCGTGACGGGACCAGTTTGGAACCACTGACCTACATCATTGACTATATATAAAGATGGACAACACGTCTCCACTCACTCCCACTGTGTAAAAATTAAGCCAAAATATCCTGGATATGGCCGCTGTAGTGATCTCTACTGTATCCAGTTCCTGCCCACACACCCATTGTCCAATCGTGAGCAGTGCCATTTGGCACTCACACATCACACCTCATGTTGTCAATCCCCCTTTTTATAGCATCAAATAACTAATTAAAACCATTTTTTTAAGAAAAAAGAACACTTGAACATACATCAGCACTATAACAACTGTCTAAAATCACCGTTAAGGGCTTCCACATCAGAACAAGCCATCCATCAGAAAGGTAAAGCTCTGAAAATATTCTAAATATAGTGTTCACCTCAACTGTTTTTTTTTTTTTTTTATGGGACTTTTTTAGGTGGCTAAAACTCTCACTCCAACATATTTTCACTCCAGCCTCTTCACATATTGACATTTGGTCATGGACTTTCCACATCCAAATACAACGTGCAAGACACCCAGGGTACCTTGCACCCTGTTGACTTTTTGGGACACTGTGTCCAGTTCTTCCTGTTACATGCATTGTTTTCTTTCAAAATACACTTCTGTTTTCACAGGAAATTTAATGTTTACATAAAGTCTCTTACAAAATAAAGGCACTACGTCAGTACAACACTGCGAATTGACTTTTTTTTTCCTTCAACAAGGAACACACGTGGTTTGGTTTAGGAAAAAAGAACAGGGTTTTATTTTATAATCTTACAGGACACAAACACCGCTCTCTTGGGTGAAAGTTGATGTTTGTTGGACCCATCCACCACCTGCCTGCCCCACTTGGACTTTCACTGCCTTTACTTTTGTTCTTGTCTTGTTGCGTTTCCCTCTGACACTGCCAGGCGCCATTTCACTACAGCAGCAACTGGCTGCGTATCATGCTGACATTAAAGGATGCCTTTTTCCTTGGTGTCTGACACTGCAAGTCACTGCCAGAGCACCTGATTTCGATGACTTTGAAGTAAAACACATTTTGTAGCTGACCCTGTCCGCAGCAGTACATTGCTTTTCATCTGTGTTGGCACTGCTGCCGCTTCTCCAACCTGGGGGTGTGACATCTGACATCTACTGTATGATATACACTGACTATGGATAAGTACCTCATACAACCCCGCTCCAAAAAATCCAAACTGTCCCTTTAATTTAATGCAGACTTTCTCCAATTAAAACAGAAGAACTGCAGTCAGATTAAGGCTAAATGTATTACTGTCTAACACATCATTATACAGAAACACAACCACGCATGGACGACTTTGTGCATCAGATATTTCTATTTAGGAAAATATCACTGATTGTCTTTATCATAGACATATTGACATTACTGCAGGCTGTGTAACCGATGTAACATTAGGCTGTTTTTCCATCTCATGTTATTGTTTTTCATTTCCTCTTATTAGTTTTTCATACAATGCAGCTACACCCTCAGGCCACAAATGATGTTTGGCTTTTATTCTCCAAATTCATATTCTTGAATTCTTTTAATTTTTTGTAATGCTCAGTCTTTTTTATTATTATGGTATTCAGGAAGTGAAAATATATTCAATATATTATGCGTCTTTGTCATTCTAAACACCTGAGGAGGAACAACAGTTATTTCTCCCGTCAATGGCTATTATTTTCTATCACCTATTTCCACAGTTTGATTATAAGCACTGTGAATCATCCCCCACCGGTGTCACACTGCAGGTCATCAAGCTTCAGCTGTTTAATCAAACACTGTACTTTGTTTGAGTGGGTTCACTGTATGATCATTACCGCAATTATTCACGGAGGTAACGCTAGATAATGGCAAATGACACAAATAATAATAATAATGATAATAACAGAATGAAGCTGATGTGTTGTTGCTCGCTGTCAGTATCAGAGCAGCTGAAACAGGAAAAGAGAAATGCAGAAAAACACCTGCTAATTAAATGACTCTCTTTGTTGTGTAAAGTTTCTCAAATAGATTTGTTTACTTGTTTTCAATTGCGACAGACACATGGTGAAAAAGAGAGTGTTATCTTTTGTTTTACAGCAAAAGTTGGCAGGTGAAGCCAGTTGTGCCCACACAGCAAGTCATAATGGAAAGTGAACATTGCAAACTGTCAAAAGAATCAGTGGAAAGAAAACATCAGCAAAACTTAAATCTTATTGCCCTTTGACTCACAGATTTCTCAAAAGGAAAAGATAAAATCAAGTTTTATATTTATTTACACTTTAAAGGAATACTTCACCCACCAAATCATCATTTGTGTGTCAAATACTCACCCTGTGTTACCTTGAATTTGTGAAGACAGCTTTGTTTTTCTTGCAAACCTCCACGCTGAACGAAGAATCCAAAAACAGGGAAAATTCTTGATGAACTGGAATAAAAAGGGTCTGAGTTTAACAACAGGAAAACTGTGTCAAAACACCCATTTACAAACTCTAACACAACTTGTGCAGTATAATCCAAGTCTCATTTATCCAATCGTATGCTCAGTACCTCCCAAACACATATACTTTTCCCCTAAAACCTTACTATTTAAGACATTTCCACATATGAGAAGCAAGCCTGGGTGTGTGTGTGATTGAACTTGGCTCGTGTATTTCACTGAGCAGAGTCCAAACATTCACACTTGCCCAGTATTTATCCATGCATGAGACTATTTATGTGGA